AAAAAAAATTACATACATATTTCTCAACATCAATACTTCGTATCCCAAGTCCAAAAAGTGGTTTACAAAGTATTGATCACTACTTTACAACAACTCTTCCTCTAATTATTACTTCAAATTTCCCAAAGTCAAAATCTTGTTTTCACACCTCATAGTTTAAGTTTCAAAAATCACAATCACCATAAATTCTCACAAACTCATTATGACATTTTCTTTATCTTTTAAGCTTTAAAATATAATTTTTACACATAAAAAAATTCAAATAGTTTATCAAAGTTTCAATTTTCTTCCTCTTGCAGCGCCACATGTCATCATATGTTTTTTTTTGTTTAACTGACAAAATTCACAAAAAAATGATTTTAAAAAACACCGTAAATTTTCTCCCTAGATTTTCGCGTATTTATTTGAAGATAATCATGTTTTGGAAAGTGTAGAGTGTCATAAATGTAATTTTACTTAATTTTCTCCCTAAATTCTCCTTAGTAAAAATGTAAAGTGTCATAACACGTGTAATATGATTATGATTATATTTGTTTTCATAAAATTCATAATTCCCTTTTTTTTTGTTAGCATATGAAGAATCCTATGACTTATGAGTTGTCATCATGTGAGTTGTCATCATGTGAAACACCAAGACCAAACGTAAGTCCCTACACTTGACCAAACCTTTCCCTCCTTAATTCATGGAGGACACTTTCCCTACACCTTTTCTCCTTGTCTCATGGAATACTTGTTTCATGGAAGACTTTCTCTCCTTGTCTAATGGAGACCTTGTTTCATGGAGGAATCCCAGGTAGAAGTTGTGTAATTAATGTCAGGCAACACTTGTATAAATGTATCATGAGAAATAGAAAGTAATAACAAGAAAGAAAACCAGAAAACATCTTTGTGCTGTTCTCATTCTCGACATTTCTCACTTATTCTGTCGAAACCAGAAACCTTTCTTATGATACCTTTGTGATACTCTCCTGATACTATTTTGACATTTTTTAGGGTGGGGCATGTGCCAGATATATCCCTAAAACCCCACACAAATCTCTCCAACTCCTCATCTTCTCCGCCTTCTTCTTTGCTCTTCGGAAAATCCAATCTTCTAAACAATGTTTTGATACAGTGATGTTGAATATGTGTTGTAGGGTGCATAACGATAACCATAATGATACATAATCCCCATAGACAGCCTGAAATATGCAACAAGCATGATACACAATGATGCCATGATACAAAAGAGTTTCTCAGTGAATATTATCCTGCTTTTAGTGCATACAGATCATACAGCTTCAACGCATCCTCAAGGGAATCAAATTCAAGTCCTAGTTTTGGTTTGAACTCCACACTAACTTCCTGTTTCACCTCTGCTTCAGACTCCATTTCACAATTCTTGCAATTTAACCTTGAAAATCATATCATCATCATAATAATATTGCCACATGCGTTTAAAGAGAATTCAAATGTATATTAACCACAATACTATAAACACAGAAATATCAAAATTTCAACAAATATCAAATAGACTATCAAACATTAGTAAATAATGAAGTATAAAACGAAATAAGCTATGAACTATTAGTGAATACAAGTGCTATATCTACGAAGCCTTTTGGAGTCTCTAGTGAAATATTAAACAACCGACATCCAAAATAACGTAAATTATGCAAATATATTTGGTAAAAACAATTCCTCCTCTCTCTTGCAAAACTCCCTTCCCCTGAATTTAACCAAATGCCTTTAGAACTTGGAGAGGTGTCACTTGAATAAAGTGGCTGTGTGGAGATCGTAAATTAGACGGACTTCCAACATGCGACTGGAAATAGTATCATGGGCAATAGTGCTCTGGGGACAACACCCAACTATTTCTATCAATGGCTGGGGATAATATGATTTTAATTCTCATCTATTTGTTTTTAATGTAAAATGGTAAAGAAGTTGGAAAATCACTTAAACTTGGTTTATGAACATGGAGAAACAGAAACTGAAGAGACCCATTGTGAAGTATACAAAGTTCACATCTGTCTTGGAATTTTTTCATGGCTTTCTTTTTGGTTGTGGATTGGAAATTGACCAATTTCATTGAGGTATTCTGTCACAACATTTATCATGATTGTAAGGGGATAGCGTAGTTTAGGTCATGATTGCTGCATCTTGGTCCGTTCTTTGCTTCTAGCACTAGGACTAGTGTAAACCATCAAAAGAGGTGAGATCCATTACCATATAAAATGTGCTTTTGGATTTCTTATAAGTGGCTCAGGATCTGTTTTGGGTCAAGCAACATTATTGAAATATGCATGTTGAAGCTGAGGTCATCCGTTTGCCCGAGGACAATAACACTAGACATATTCTAGTTTATGAAGATTTGTAGTGTTTTCCATATAATGACTGGTTTGTGAACAAAAAAGCTTGTCGAAAGTTGCTTGGAAATCCTAAATGCTTGTGGGATTTGTCTGTCTTTTTGGTTTTCCTTCTCCTGTTGGTAAATAACAGCTTTTTGGATTTGGTTTGACAGGTAACAAGTGTGAGTTATCACCCAAAGGACAACTGCATGATAAGTTCCTCTGTTGATGGCACCATTAAGGTGTGGAAATCTTGAGAACTTTTCACAAGCAATGAAGTAAATCAACCTATGCTATGCTGCAAATGCTGCAATTTGTACCTTCTCTGCTGAAAACTGAAATGCTGCCTTGTAATTATAGAATTGTTAGCTTTGCTTGTTCCAATGCTCTTCACTTTCAGAGTTTTGTATCTGATTTTGCACAACATTTTACTGTATTGAATTTGGGGCACACTCTAATTGATGTATGAAAAGTTAACAATGTTTTGTATTGAATTTGGGCACACTCACTCCAGATAGATCAATATTCACAACAAAGATCCAACCTTTTATTTGAAGAACGTGATATACAAAATGAACAAAACATAAACAAAGATCATCACACTTGTACAATTAATGGTGAGAATTTCAAATTTCAAATTTCAAATGTCAATCTTCAACTGGTAGGTGGTGATGTAAACTGGTAGGAGGCATAAGAAAGAGCACCAAGATCCCAGCTCCCATGAATGAGCTTAGCCTTGGCAGCTGAGCCAGCAGCTCCAATGGCCACATGCAATGGGTAAAAGTGATCAGGCCATGGGTGAGCCATTTTCGCATAAGGAGCCTTCTCCTCATACTGGTTCACATCTTCGTACCTCCCTTCAAGCAGAGCATCCTTAAGCCACGTGTCGAACTCCAGAGCCCACGGAACAATGGATCCACCACCACCACCACCACCCCTTATCTCCCTCAGCGCCCTCAAGTTGTGAGTGGCACTGCCAGACCCCACCACAAGTACGCCCTCGTCCTTGAGTGGGGCCAGTGCCCTCCCCATGTTGTAGTGATAAGTGGCGTCCCTGTCCGTCTGGATAGACAGCTGACAGACAGGGATGTCCGCCTCCGGGTACATGAACATAAGTGGGACCCACGCTCCGTGGTCAAGGCCACGTTTGGCATCGACATCAACGCGTGGGAAGCCGGAGGCAGTGAGGAGGTCCTTGACGCGGCCGGCGAGGTTGGGGGAGCCCGGAGCGGGGTACTTGAGCTGGTACATGGACTTGGGGAAGCCGTAGAAGTCGTAGATGGTGTCGTGGGGGCCGGAGATGGCGTTGACGGTGGGGACAGACGTCTCCCAGTGGCCGGAGATGATGAGAATGGAATTGGGTTTGTTTGGATACACGTTTTGCTTCCATGACTGGAGGAATTTTCTGGCTGGGATTGACTCGTCGATGCTCAGCGTCGGGGATCCATGGGATATGTAAAACGTGTCCTGAACTGCCATTGCAAAACACAGACAAGGAGAGCGAGAGAGAGATGACAAAGGAATTTGGAATTGGGAAATTGGGATTTTGATTTGTGTTTTTCTCTTTTTGATTGAGAATTTGATTGGTAGTTGTTCTATTTTATACCAAAAGGAAGTCGTCGTAATCTAGGTTTGGTGAAAACACGTTTCTCCTAATATACCACGTATGTGCTTTTGTCATTTTTCTTTTCTTATTAAAAAGCCTGTGCGCCATTGATACCGTGAAATGAAACTCATCCTGTTCCACGTGAAATTTTTTAAATAATAAATTTTTTGGGACAATGGGTTCTTTTTGAATTTCTAAATTCTAACCAAAATGAGCCTAATTCTCAAAACTCAAGAAGAAAGAAAAATGGCGGGTTTGAATGCAAACGAGTACGACGACGCTTTGCATGGTCCGAAAGAATAAGTGAAAATAAAGGCACAGATCTAGCATCTAACCGACCTTAGCTCAGTTGGTAGAGCGGAGGACTGTAGTGGGATCAATCCTTGTAGCTATCCTTAGGTCGCTGGTTCGAATCCGGCAGGTCGGATTTTTCTTCTTTTTATCCTCAGGAATAAAATATATCAAAATTTTCTTCTTTTTCCCCACTTTTTTAAACGCTGTTCAACACAAACCCAATCTATATTGCTCGAAGATCCAAAACCATCTCAAATTATTTAATTTAATTAGAAAATAATAGCAGCATAGAATGTAATTAAATTTAAATAGTTTATTTATTTATTTATTTATTTATGCATATCACAATGTGAAAGTGACCAAAATTAGAAAGATGACAGAGGATTGTATATTGCTTATAGTTCTCAGAATCTCACCCCCAGTAGTGTGTAGTAAAATGGTTTATGCATGGTCAGCAAGCTAGCTTGTTGGGTAATTGATTATAACTTTAGTTGGTCTTTTGAGTTTGTGCTGGCAAGAAAGTTACATGCAAACAAGGGTTGAGGCGTTGTAATATTAACAGACCACTTGAATCAAACCTAAGGAGGAGTGGACTTGTGGAGGTGCTTGCATATTATCTCTTATATCACTAAGGCCTGTTCTTTTTAGGTGTCATCACTTTAAGGCTCATCCTTGCTTTGGTATGAGCTGGTGGTGTGAAGGAATTAATTGCAAAAACTTGGAGCCCAAGTAGGGACAAATTTAGGATTTCAAAATGGTGCGGGTTAAATTTACATTCCGTACAAACATATTGAAAACTCAATGGTACGAGTAAATTTCATTGATAATAAAAAAAAATACACAGGGGAGACATAATGAGTCATACCCCTCAAATAACACTTATATAAGTTGCACCCACTGGCGGATCCAAGAATTTTTAAGGGGAGGTGCAACATTTCAAAGACTAACTGTTCCACACAAAAAAACAAAAAATTAAAAAAAAAACTTCGGAAATTTATAGTTGAACTGATACTATTATTATTCATAATTTATAAAAGAAATAATATTTTCTAATTAATCCAAAAAAATTCACTGATGAATTTTTTATTTTTTGTTTTGAAAAATATGCATGATGCACATTCATGATTTGAATATATTGATTAATTGGATTTACAATATATATGAACTAACAAAATTCACTTGTCATAAATGTGCAATTTATACATTCAGGGAAAAGAAAAAAAGAAAAAAGAAACGAAGAACTTGCAAGAAGATTAAATTAACAAATAATTTCATTAATAATTCAACAGCATTTTAAAGTTCAATATGTGCTTTTATATATATATATATATATATATAGGTTAAGCCCTCAAACTCTAATGACTACTCTACCCTCAAACAAAAGCTGCAGCATGATGTGGTCTTTAGTATAACAAAAATTAAACACATGTATTGCACACAAAGATTTTAAAACATATTAATTGATTTGGTCCAAAACGATTCGTTTTGGCCAGATTATTAAAGAGAAAAATAGATCGCGCTTGCTGCTGTTGCTCTTCACTCTAAGCCTTTCCACAAACAGGTTGTGGGCATTCTTGCCAAGCCACCCAGCCGCCCAAGAGCTCAAGATGTCTGACTTCTATGGCATTTTCAGGTGAGGGGAAGTGCACCTGCGCCTCCTTGCGCCTCTGTGGGTCCGCCACTGGTTGCACCCTTCAAGTCTTCGCAGCATTAAAATCACTTATTATTGTTTCATTATCTATATTATCAGCAAATTCTCTTTCAATATGAAGTAGCATACAATCAGCAAGAAACTCATCACCTATCTTATTCCGATGTTGATTTTTAATAAGTCTCAAATATAAAAATGTTCGTAGACACATGAAGAGTTAGCACCAAACAAATCAATTTGTCAATCAAGTAGTATGTTTCTGCTAATTTTGTTTCAATTAAGCACTCGAGTAATATAGGGATGGAATCAATATTCTTGAAGGCTTGAATGCAATCCATATCAATCTTATAAAATCTCAATTGCTTATTTAAAGCATGCAACTCAGTTGTAGTGAAATCTTAAGGGTAAAATTTCTCAGCAAGAGTGCATATATCACCAATGTTAAATCGCTTGAAAGCATCACGAGGATCTAATCCTGAGCTAAGACAAAGGAGTTATACAGTCTCATTTGGAAATCTAATATTTAACTCCCCCAACTGATAATCTATTACCTCATTAAATATATCAATATGATAATAATGCTCAACTGTGACACAATCTCTTTGTTGACAAGAACGGCGAGTGCTATTGATGACGGGCACCCATATTAGGCATATTAATCTCATGTTCTTTACAAAATGATTGCACACTCTGTATAAAATCATTCCAACCATTATTTCTCAACTCGTCAAGCTCCATTTTTGCACTTGCAACCAAATTAAAAGCCTTTACAATTTCTTGAGATTTTCTTTGAAGTTCTTGACAAAGAAAATCAGTGAATCTCATAGTTTTGTA